TTGTTATTATTGTTATTGTTGTTTTCATTATTACTATTATTATTATTATTATTATTATTATTGTTGTTGTTGTTATTATTTATTTTTATTTGTTTTTTATTATTGTAAGTAGTAGTAATAGTACCATTATATAATCATCATTATATATTAGTGTTGTCATTATTATTATTATTATTATTATTATTATTATTACAAAGTTGATGATTATTATTACTTTAATCATAGTTATTAATATTATTGCTATTACTCTTACTATTATTATTGATATTATTGTTATTATTATTATTATTATTATCATGATTATTATTGTTATTATTATTATTATTATTATTATTATTATTATTATTATTATTATTATCATTACTATTATTATTATTATGAATGAAATTATCATCATCATCATGAGCATCATTATTATCATTATTTTTTTTTCTTTGAACATCATCATCATCATTGTTGTTATTGTTATTTTTGTTGTTATTGTTATTTTTATTGTTATTGATATTGATAATAATGATTATATTATTATTATTATTATTGTTGTTATTATTATTATTACTGTTATTATGCTCATTATTATTATTAATATTATTATTATTATTATTATTATTATTATTATTATACTCCTTATTTTTATCATTGTTAATATTATTATTATTATTATTATTATTATTATTATTATCATTGTTTTATTATTATTGTTATTATTTATTATTATTATTGTTATAATCTATACATTTTTTTGCTTATCATTAATATTATTATTATTATCATTATTATTATTATTATTATTATTATTATTGTTATTGTTGTTACTAGTACTACTGTTATTATTGCTATTATTATTAATGTCTTTGTTGTAGTTATTGTTTTTTTCTTTTTTATTGTGTTTGTTATTGTAACTGTTATTATTTATGTTTGGTACTATTAGTATCATTGTTATTAACATTATCATTGTCATTATGATTATCATTATCTCTGTCATTATTGTTTCTTGTAGTTATTATTTTTATTTTATTATTACTTTTGTTGTTATTAGTAGTAACCTATTATTATTATTGTTATTGTTATTCTTCATTTTCTTCTTCTACTTCTTCTTCATAATATTATTATTATTATGACTACTACTACTGCTATTACTATTACTATTACTATTACTACTGGTATTGATGTTATTATTATTCTTATTGTTATCATCATCATCATCGTCATTGTATATAGTTGATTTTTTAAAAATTATTATTATTATCATTATTATTATTATTATTATTATTATTGTTGTTAATATTGTTAATATTGTTATTATTATTATTATTATTATTATTATTATTATTATTAATATTCTTCTTCTTTTTATTATTATTGTTGTTATTATTTCTGTTATAATTATTTCTGTTATTAGTATTTCTGTTTATTAATATCATCATTATTGTTATTATTTTATTATCATTGGTGTTATTGTTATTACAGTTATTTTCATCTTTAGTTTTATCATTATCATAATCATTATCATTATCATTATTATTATTATTATCAATATCATTATGATTTTCAATATCGTTGTGATAATCATAATCATTATTATCGTTATCAGTGTGGTTATCAGTATCGTTATTGTCTAAATTTTTATTTTTATTTCTATTGTTGTTTTGTCACTATTATTTATTTATCATATATATATTTTTTTCTTGTTGATGTTGCTGTTAGTTTTATTATTATTATTATCAGCATTATTAATATTATTATTATTATAATTATTAATATTATTATTATACTCCTTATTTTTATCATTGTTAATATTATTATTATTATTATTATTATTATTATTATTATCATTGTTTTGTTATTATTGTTATTGTTGTTTTCATTATTACTATTATTATTATTATTATTATTATTATTATTATTATTATTGTTGTTGTTGTTATTATTTATTTTAATTTGTTTTTTATTATTGTAAGTAGTAGTAATAGTACTATTATATAATCATCATTATATATTAGTGTTGTCATTATTATTATTATTATTATTATTATTATTATTATTACAAAGTTGATGATTATTATTACTTTAATCATAGTTATTAATATTATTGCTATTACTCTTACTATTAATATTGATATTATTGTTATTATTATTATTATTATCATTATTATTATTGTTATTATTATTATTATTATTATTATTATTATTATTATTATCATTATTATTATTATTATTATTATGAATGAAATTATCATCATCATCATGAGCATCATTATTATCATTATTTTTTTTTCTTTGAACATCATCATCATCGTTATGGTTATTATTGTTACTATTATTAGTTATAGCAGTAGTAGTAGTAGTAGTATATTTTTTATTCTCTTTTATGTTTCCTATATTTAATGTGTGCAGATATGTGCATTCATGTGTTCTTGTCCTCATATTATTATTATGCTGTAATAGCTTGAAGATCGGATATGTTTATGTGTATATTTAAGGACACTTTATCTTACAGGACCTATCTGGTGGCGGCATGTGAACAGCGGGCCATCATGGTGTTTGATCCTCTGTCCAGACGGCAGATCCATTATATTCCCTTAGCTCACGAGAATTGTGTCAATGGTATCAAGTAAGTGGCCTTTAAGTAGCAGAGATTCTTAATTTGTTTGATTGTTGAGGATAAGGTGATGCTGTGACAGTACGTGTTGTAGAGTTTTTAATGTGTATGTTATATTTTGGGTCAGGGTTGGTATGTTGGTGTTATTAAATGGTGCAGATTTTGGTTAAAACTGCGGTTGTTTTTTTAAATTGTGGCATCGTCTTGTTTTCTGAGATGAATTTTCTTTAATTTGGGTTAATTTGTAGCATAAAAGAATCTTTATATATCATTCAGATTTTAGCTTGTCTGTAATTACTTAGACTTGTAATGATGAATGATAAGTTAGAGAATTTTGATTACAGATATTAGTGTATTTTAAATTTAATGAATTAAAAAGATAATTTTGGCAGCACCATTAATTCTGTTCATTTACTTTTTACAAATGTAGTATAGTTATAGGTTAAATTTTTTTTTTTTTTTTTCTGTCCTGCAATGATGATTACTGATCAACACTCATTTTGGCAGGTTCCTTGACTCCCGCGTGTTTGCATCGTGTAGCGACGACCACACAGTAGCCCTTTGGGATGTGCGAAACCTGAAGAGGCGCATCAGACTGCTCCAGGGACATAGCAACTGGGTGAAAAACATAGAATATTCTGCCGGTGATGGCATTTTGGTCACATCTGGTTTTGATGGCAAGATACTTGGCTGGGATATTAATGGGTAAGTCTTTTGTAAAGTGATTTGAATGGTTCGTGCAGTAGTTGATTTCTGTGGTATTATTTTTTTGTCAACTATGTGCCGGTTGGAATATTCTGTTTAATGGTAATATAACTACCCTGGTATTACTTTTACCAAACCCAATTAGTTATGTTTCCCAGTTTGTCTTATCAGTTTTAGCATTGTTATTGTTTTGTATTTGGGTCAATAATGAAACATTACAGATAGCAAGATAAAAGTTATTTCCTGTTGGCTTAGGCTACAAAAGTTTTAATAGCTTTTTGAATATTATCGCAAGGGATTCTTTATTACACTATTATTGATGAGAAACCAAATGAAAACTCTCAATTCCTTTATGCTTTGGATGCAGATGGCAGGATATCATGTAATGGTTGTGGATGGCGTTGCATGATAACGTATTGTGCTCTGTCAGCTTGTTTCTCCAGTAGTAGTGGCATCATTTGTTTGGTGTTGCTGAGATACAGGTGCCAAAAGTGAAAGGAAGCACAAGTCGCCCAATGCTGTGTTTGTAATACTAAATGAGCCAGGAACTACTGGGAAAACTGCCAAAGTGCATAATAACCTGTTATTACTGGCTACTAACGAATGTTTAGTACCAAAGTTATTTGGTTAATAGTTTTAAAGGAGAATATGCAAAGAAATTTAAGACTGAAATCTGCAGGGTGATTGTAAAAAAAAAAAAGTTGTCTTTTTTTCACTTGAAATGAATAAGATTTAACATGGAAGGAAGGAATTTTGATTGAGACAAATAACTTTCATCAAGTGGAAAGAATTTGATGGAAAATCTGTAACTTCAAATTTAATGAGCTAAACTTTGCAATAAATTCATATCATTGTTAAAAGTTAAAACCATATTTCCCCAAATATGGTTTAGAATATAAAGAATTTAAAAGATGGATAATTAAAAAAAATGACTAATATGATCAGTCTTAAAGCAAAGGAATTTCACAATAATAGATTATATATTATTAAGAGCCCAACATCCTTTACAATTAGATTTTCTTGATTTTCTTCAATTGCCTAGCCTGATTGCCCTCCCCCCCACACCCTTCCCCATTTTTTAAAATAAGTACTCATAGATTATTATCATAAGAGAAAACTTTAAACTTTTATCAAGGAATTTGGGAGCTTTAAAAAGAAGTTACAATAAAAAAGATTCTTCTTTACAGGTACACAGAGGATGGTCTGCTGTCCACCGAGTTGTTCAGCATGCAAGGACTCATGAGAATGCGCCTAAGTCCCGATTGCAGCAAGTTGGTCATGTGCACCACTGGCGGCTACATGGTACTCGTGCACAACCTCAGTCTAGAGCACCTGTCAGAAGATCTTAGGAACTTTAAGGTTCGTTCTGGCGAGCGGGTTCTGTGGATTGAAGATGGTAATATAACTACCCTGGTATTACTTTTACCAAACCCAATTAGTTATGTTTCCCAGTTTGTCTTATCAGTTTTAGCAATGTTATTGTTTTGTATTTGGGTCAATAATGAAACATTACAGATAGCAAGATAAAAGTTATTTCCTGTTGGCTTAGGCTACAAAAGTTTTAATAGCTTTTTGAATATTATCGCAAGGGATTCTTTATTACACTATTATTGATGAGAAACCAAATGAAAACTCTCAATTCCTTTATGCTTTGGATGCAGATGGCAGGATATCATGTAATGGTTGTGGATGGCGTTGCATGATAACGTATTGTGCTCTGTCAGCTTGTTTCTCCAGTAGTAGTGGCATCATTTGTTTGGTGTTGCTGAGATACAGGTGCCAAAAGTGAAAGGAAGCACAAGTCGCCCAATGTTGTGTTTGTAATACTAAATGAGCCAGGAACTACTGGGAAAACTGCCAAAGTGTGTAATAACCTGTTATTACTGGCTACTAACGAATGTTTAGTACCAAAGTTATTTGGTTAATAGTTTTAAAGGAGAATATGCAAAGAAATTTAAGACTGAAATCTGCAGGGTGATTGTAAGAAAAAAAAAGTTGTCTTTTTTTCACTTGAAATGAATAAGATTTAACATGGAAGGAAGGAATTTTGATTGAGACAAATAACTTTCATCAAGTGGAAAGAATTTGATGGAAAATCTGTAACTTCAAATTTAATGAGCTAAACTTTGCAATAAATTCATATCATTGTTAAAAGTTAAAACCATATTTCCCCAAATATGGTTTAGAATATAAAGAATTTAAAAGATGGATAATTTAAAAAAATGACTAATATGATCAGTCTTAAAGCAAAGGAATTTCACAATAATAGATTATATACTATTAAGAGCCCAACATCCCTTACAATTAGATTTTCTTGATTTTCTTCAATTGCCTAGCCTGATTGCCCTCCCCCCCACACCCTTCCCCACTTTTTAAAATAAGTACTCATAGATTATTATCATAAGAGAAAACTTTAAACTTTTATCAAGGAATTTGGGAGCTTTAAAAAGAAGTTACAATAAAAAAGATTCTTCTTTACAGGTACACAGAGGATGGTCTGCTGTCCACCGAGTTGTTCAGCATGCAAGGACTCATGAGAATGCGCCTAAGTCCCGATTGCAGCAAGTTGGTCATGTGCACCACTGGCGGCTACATGGTACTCGTGCACAACCTCAGTCTAGAGCACCTGTCAGAAGATCTTAGGAACTTTAAGGTTCGTTCTGGCGAGCGGGTTCTGTGGATTGAAGTGTTTTTTTTTTTTTTGATCTTCCATTTAATGGTGCGGTTGTTCTTGTTTTAGTTTTATTTATTATTATTTTTTTTTATTATTATTATTTTTTTTTAGTAGGATCTGTTTATGGTAAAAAAGTGTAAATGGAAGAAATAATCTATTGCTGTCAGGGATGATTTGTGTTTACACAAAGATAGCTCTGCAAGTACTTAGTCACCAAGCAACCAGTTACAAGTACTACATGTCTCACTGGTATACCCTTTTCCTTGATTTTTTGAATAATTATTTTCTAAAATTATATTCCAATTTGTTTTTTATATAAAATTGTAATCATACTCTCAGCGTGTGGACCAAAATATTACTTGAGGGGCAACTCTCTCAGATGTAAGGCTTTGGAGGCCTAGCATACTCATACAGTATCAAGACTCCTTGCCTCCCCATTCCAGTGATATTATCTTTTTTCTGCATAAGCATTATTTTTGCTTATTTGCCACTTTCCAATATCTGTATTTGTCACCTGCTCTACTCTATCAAGATGGTAATAGATTGTTTTCATTGAACAGACACAGTATTATTTCTCTAGGTAGTCTACAACTCAATAACAATAGTAATATTATTTGTGCCACTTTTAAATATCTTTGTATTATTTAGTTTTCTGTATAACCTGCACCAGTGGTCTCAGCGAGTAAATATAGGAACCTGAGATTTTTAATATTTTCCTCCCAGGAGCTGGTGCTCTTCCTAGTCTAGCTGACAGATGCTACAATCCAACCCTGTTTACTGGTTGAAGTAATGTAAGAGCCATTTCCTAATGCTTTCTGAGTCTAATCCTCCTCCTAGACAGTTGTGCACTCATGACAGTACATTCCTGCTAACTGGTCCTCTGCTAGATTTTTTTCATAATGTGGCACTTACATCACCCATATCCAGTGGGTTGATAACATTGGAAAAAAAAAAATCCTGAACACTCAAGGCAAGGGGAAATAGGTGAAGTCATTGTAGAACTACTTATTTTGACCCCTTGGTGGTTGAGCACTTGTGGAGTCCTCAACCTATGTTTCGTAAAGGCAGTTCATAAAACCAAACTTCGGTGAACATTACGTGTTCCTGGAGGTAATGAACTAAAGGAAAATGAGAATTTAAATCTATAGTGTTATAGTAAAGAAAGAGAAAGGAATCTGAACTCTTTCACAGTCACACACTCATCCTATGTTTGTTCACAGCCCAACATGTACCGATTGATGCAGTTGTCGAACACTCCGTTACCCCACGCCACCATGTTCACAAACCTGTTCTACAGACAACGGAACAGAGTGGAGTTCATCTCAGACTTCCCTCCCTCCAATGAGGCTGAGGTCATCCACTCTTTGCAAGTTCATCCACAGGGTTGGTGTGTTTTGTCCAGAAATACATCTATGGAAGATTCATCAGAGGTAAGCTGTTTAAATTGTAGGTTTGCTTTCGTTTAGTTTAATTATGTTCTTCGTGTTTCTTATTTTTATGGTTTTCATCATTTTTGTTAAATTTTTCAGGACTATTTTAAGTACTACTGCTACTGTTGTAATTGAGTTTGTTGCTATTATTCATGGGAAGACTGTTGGCATTATCATGATGATGGTGTTACTTTTTTCATAGAAGTAATAGAAATTTAATTTTATTTTACTCTCCATTCTTAACCCCTTAGATCCAGTTGTGTCGTGGCAATGACATGACCAAAATCTGGGCATTAGGCTTACATGAGTGGCTGCTCTACCAGGTGGCAGCTTGTAAATCGTGTGCGTGCGAACATGTGACAAGACTCTATGCCTCCTATTTGCAATGTTATTTACTTTTTTTATGCATAAATGTTTTTAGTTTTTTATCATTTTCCAATGTATATTTACTATTTGATTTGCATTTTGCAGATAGGTAGTCTACAACTCATTGCAATAAAAATAAAAATATACATTGCTGGGAACAATGCAAATTCACCAAATCAGTCTAATCAAAGAGGTTTGTGCACTTGTGGTGAGTCTCTCCTGTCACCCCGGCCTTCAGCTAAAATGCTCACGACGGCAGTTTTCACGTCACTTGGCCTGCAGCCAGATTTTCCTGTGACGGAATGTTCATGTCACTCACCCCTCAAGCCAGATTTTTTCATGACAGAAGGGTCACATCACCTTGATTGAAGTGGTTAAAATGTTGAGAATGTTACCACCACCAAACTAAATACCATTATCGTTGTTATTTTTTGTGCTGTTTTATAAATTCATTACCACTGAATTGAAATTATTCCTGTAATATTAGAGTTGACTATCACACAGGAAGTCAATGTCACCAAAGGAATGTAAGTCTTCCTGATCAAGTATAATTAAGTAGATTTTGAAAATGTAGAGAATAGCTTAACCGTTTTGTTCCGGATGGTTTAAAAGATGGTTGTTACTTGTGTATGACGCACTTGTCTGTGAGCAGTAACATGGAATGTGATGTCCTGAGAATCTCTTGTCTAATACAGCTTCTTCCTCTCTCTCTCTCACACACGCACATGCACATGCACACACGCACACGCACATGCACACACGCACACGTACACACACACACGTACACACACACACGTACACACACACACACACACACACACACACACACACACACACACACACACACACACACACACACACACACACACACAAAGTTGAAAAGAAAGATTCATTGAAGCTTCATGTTCATTTTATGGTAAACTAAGGTAAACTCTCTCCTTTCTCTCCCATCCCTGGTGGAGGGATAAGGAGTGAAGTAAAGGATAGGGGGATATGGAGGACAAAGGTAGGACCACAGAGGGGGAGACTGTGATGCAGATGTCAATAGTGGAGTGTAGCTGATTCATATGGTTGGTGGGATGAAGGATGGTGGGTGTAGTTATAGAATTTCAAGGGCAGTAAATGGCTTCAAACAATAGAGCCAGAACACAATACGGAATCACTCTGCAGCAACTAAAATAAAATGGAATTATGAGGCCAACATTGTCGTCACAGTATGTTCCACTGGCACTTCATGACGCCAAAACTGGCATCACTGTATAAAATGGTCAAAGCCAAACAGATATGTCGCATGCATGCCTTGTGTCATAATGCACAATAACTTTACCATCAAACTTTTTTTTTTTCAGTGGAGCTGTGTTCATGACATCCAGGACCTAGGAGTGACAGCTTGCAAGGATGAGGATGAGGATCAAGACCACCATGGAGACCTAGAACCCTATGATGACATTCCCTCAACAAGTGAGACAGAGGCACAGAATTCTTCAACATTTCAGAATAGACCAAGCAGTGCAAACAGTAGTAATAACAATAGTAACAGCAGTACGAACAGTGGAAGTGAAAGTGGCAATGTAAATGGAAACTTACACTTATCATTGACGTTCAGCCCAAGGGTGGAAATCATGCTGCGGCACAGCCCAAGGGATGAGAGTGATGATGGCGGTGGTGATGGAGGTGGAGGTGGCAGGGGAGAATTGGCAGGTGGAGCTGGTCCTGCCAGGAGTGGCAGCAGTGGTAGTAACGTCAATGCCTTTGCTACAGCCTCTGGTGGGAGTGGAGTGAGAGTTGTAGATGGTGCAGGAATAGCAGTTGGTGGTAGTGCAGGAGGAGGAGGTGGAGGAGGGGGAGGCATAGACATCCAGCTACGATTTACATCAATGGATGTCTTTGAAGCCTTAGAACATATAAGGGAGCGCCGTGAGGAACAACGGATACGGCAAGGAAGGCAGAGAGCAGCTCGGACTGATTCAGAGGCCTCCTCGAGTAGTGGAAACAATGAAAATTCCTCTGGTTTCCCCCAGTCCTCTTCCTCTCAGTCACCATCACCAGCCTTACAACACCTTGGCCGTAATAGGACCTTTAGTGTGCACAGAGGTAGAGATTTTGACAATGCCAGAGAAAATTTGGGCTCAGGGAGGACTGCAGCCAATATTATCGACTCACGTAATGCATTTTATATCAGAACTGGTACTGGCAATCATAGAGCTCTGTTGCTTCTTCGACCCTTGGAGAATTATCCACGGTATAATCAGACGGTGGATCCAAACCATAAGATTGCAAAGAATATTTCACGGCTAACTCATTACATAGAGGAACCAAATGTTGGAAGAGGGTTTATCAAGGAGCTGTGCTTCAACTCAGATGGGCGGCTGATATGCTCCCCGTATGCTCATGGGGTGCGGCTCATGATGTTTGACCAGAACTGTTCAGAACTCTCCACATGTGTGCAAGATATTCCCCAAACCCTTTATGCTGTATCCACCAACAATTGTCATAAAAACTGTGTTGTTAGTACCAAGTTTTCTCCCACACATTGCCTTCTAGTCTCAGGCTGCCTGAATGGCAAAATTGTGTGGCATCAGCCTGTTCTCTAGTGGAATGAGTAGCTGCAGTGTATTATACATAGTTATATGGGAAATGGCTATGTTATATACATGGTGTTTTAGTTTTCTATGCTCTTGAGCAAGCTTAAACTTTGTTGGTCTGCTGACCTTTCCAATAGATTTTCTAAGTGAAATAGAGAATATATTTGTGGAGTGTACTTGTGTGGTATATAGAATGCACAGCAGATTACAAGAGCAATTTATTTATTGAAGGAATGTGTATCTAATGAATAACAAGTTCATATAGTTTGTTATTCTTGCATTTGGCATGTGTCAAAGTGCTTAACTTAAACACAGAATGTATAACAGGTGTTTGTAAGGCATCAATTCAAATGATATTTCAGTAGATGGATAGAAGTAGAGGTTTTACTGTGTGTACATTGTTTAATTTCTTAGAGTGGAATATGGATTTTTTTTACAGTATATCCAAAGAGCAATAATGCATTTTTTAGTTGTTCGAAAAAAGAAAATTAGATTTGTCAGTGCATTCAAATATTATAAGAGAGATAAACACCTCTGTGTCTTGGAAATACAGTCTCCTTTTCATTTCTTCGGACTCATTAGTTGTAAACACAAATGCATTGTTTACTTTGCAAGTTTCTCAGTTTTTGCTTCAGAATTGCGCAGCTCATTTAAGGAGATGGAAGTATGGAACAAGATTTATTTCCAGCAGGCAGACATTGCAGTCTCTTGTGTTTGCAACTATCATGCTGTGCATTAGTTTTTATCAGGAGACAAAGAAGAATATGGTCATTCATTGTTTTTTTTTAAGGAGAGATCAGCACCTTTTCATTATAAAAAATTATAGCATTTAAGCAAAGGGTAGATGAAAATGCAGGTAATTGATATGTACAGTTTAAAAATAATTAAGGTACATTCCTTTATATTGGACATTTCAAAAAATGTTAATTGGAATATATGTATATACTAAAATAAAAAATAAAGACATTGCAACACATTATATTAATAATAGCAAGAGTTTATGAATAAATTTAAATTTCAATAAGGTATTAATTGATAAGACTTTAATTTTTTTCTATATTTCTTCCCTCCTCCATTTTTCTAACTAGAACTATGTATTAATTTTTCTTTCTTTCTTTTATTATCTGATCTGATCATTATTGTTTCAATTTGTTGGCACTGAAAGTTGGACATTGTGTTGTAAATGTGACTTGATGCAAATGAATGCATCGCTTGTCTGGGATAGTAAGTGAACATGCTCCCCTGCTGGAATTCAGGTACTCTTTGGTCCTGTGTTATGTAATGGTTCATAGGTATTAGCTAGTGCTTGAAAATGTTTGGAAATTCACTGTCTTGAACCTTTGTTTCTCCTTTTCCTCTATTTCCTCTTGTTGCTCTCTCTCTCTCTCTTTTTTTCTGTTTTATCCCTGCGTCAAGTTTTTTTTGTGCCACCATGTCTCTGAAAGTCTTCTGCTCTCAAAAAAATAAAATGGCAGTTATTTTGTGTTCAGAGTATCTGTGATTCTAAAAGCAGGGTACAGAAAGTTGTGTGGAAGAATGCAGGGTCTGATTGAAAGAAATATTAAGAGATTATGGTTTCTTCTCCTTTGGAAGTCATTGTTAGTGTTAATTTTTCTCTTTTTTGTACTATTTAAATGTGAAAATGAATGAATTGATATTGAACTTCATACAAAAGGTAATCTAAGCATGAGGCAGTGAGCATTAACAGAAATGCTAAGGTAATTAAAGCTGGAGTTATAGTTATAAAGTTTTATGACCATAAAAGTAGCATAGAAAAAATGGGTCGGTCGGCTGGGATGTATAGAAGTAGAGAAGATGATACCTCTTGCTTTGGGCTTCTTATCTCAGTTTATTTAAAAACCTACAATTCTCTTTTCCATCTCGGGATTCATGATGTGAGGATGGTAGATTAATGCTCATTTAATACGTCAGCCATTTTATTATTTTCTTCTTGGAAATACGGTACCTAAGCCACTATGTGCCATACATCCCATTGTAAAACCTTGCCTCTTGTTATATGCTGTGTATTACTCAAGTCTTATCAAATATTTAGGGCTTGTTCAAATGGGGAGAGGATTGTGCAAAGGAGGGGAACTCTGGATTGTTTTAACAGGAAGTGTTTACAGTCTTCCTTAGTTGATTAAGCCGTCGGTATCACAGTTTAAAGTCCATGTAAAGGCATGTTTCCGCTATAAGATGTCTACAAGATATTAAATGACAGATGTTTAACCCTTTTCAGATGAGCCATAGGCTGCATGGTTGCCAGTCTTTGCTTTATTGTTTATGTGTGAAGTATAGTAATTTTTCTGAGTGATTTTTAACCGTAAGTAGTGGCATTAAAATGGTTTATAAGTGGTACTGTATCCTCTTGTGCAGAAGGGAAACAGACGTAGGTGTGGGAGAAACAATGTATCAGCTTAAAATTGTGAAATGTCATGTTAGTGTATATGGAACTATTAGGTATATTTTGAGTATTTATCTTGTGTTTAACCCTTCAATGGTACAGTGTGTTTTTATGTACCAGGGTTAGACAGTCAAACCAACTACAAAAATTGTAAACATTGGCATACAATTCTGAAATAACCTGAAGTTTCACGCAAAAAAGTCATTAGCACTGATAATGGATTTTTATGACGTATACTTTAGGTTATATCAATATTGTTTTGATCTATCTATCACTGGTTTATGTCATTGTCTGACATTGTGTATCCATGATTGTCTTTTTAACCAGATTAGTTACTTATCTATGTATATATTTATGGTGTTTTCAAACTTTTTTTTTTTTTCTGTCTTGCTTCACAATCCCTCATAGAGATGTGCAGATATCAAGATGTGGGCCAATAGCAATGCCGATGCCAATACCCAATTCTCAACCAAACCAAGCCCAATACTCCATTTCTAACCATGGGCTGATATTTTTCTGATACAGATGTGTAGGAAGTTACATTTATTTGTTTTTATATTTTATCTGGAAATCTAAAATAAGATTATGGCTACTTATATTTTAGTGACAGAGATTAGAGTTAAAATTATTTACTGTATTAGATAAAATGTAAAAAAAATATATATATATGTAAAAATAAACTTTCAAATATTGTCAAAATTTAAGTTTGTGATCTTTTATCCAGTAGCCTTTTTATTTGTCTGATATGATTGCTAAGCTGAGGATGGTATCTACAGTATTATTACTTTTTTTCTGCTTATGTGAATAAAGCATGTCGGAATCTTTTGAGCTAATGATACCAACAGCAAAAACATGGCTTTATCTTGAATCCTCAGTTCATTGCAATAGAATTTGGAGTATTTGGCCATATTTTGACCTTGCTGATAACAAAGCTGAAAAGAAAAGGCTGATACGGCCTACATTGATGCCAATACTATCGGCACATTTCTAATCCCTTATACCTCTGTGTAATATATTACAGACAGCTTTAACTTTCTTTCTCCCTGTAATCTCATGCTTGTAGAATTATCTATATTATTTTACTTTACATTTTTTTTTTTTTTCCTTTTTTTTTTTTTTTTTTTTTTTTTTTTTTTTTTTTAAGTAATAACCTGATGTGAATTTTTTTTTTTTTTATAATTTTACACAGCTGTAATGGACAACATGTTAACTCTTTCAAATGTTATCACATAGTTTCTTTATAAAAGCTGAATGATGAATAAAAGAGATAGAAGCATCTTACTCTTGTACATATACTTGTTTATCTGAGGTTTTGACATTTGTATAAAAAAAAACAAAAAACAAAAAATATATGTGATTAAAAATGTTGCCTTTAATATTTGTCTTTTTTCATGAGACTTTCAGATACATAGTGATAATGGCATAGTATCAAGCATATTAGAATATGCTTTGTATTATTTAGTACATCCTATGTTTGCTTGTTCAGGTATATGATCTTTTTATACATATTTGTATCAGATTTAAAGTTGTAATCACGTGGTCCGGAAGGGAAAGTAAGTCACTTTTTTGTATATTCATACATGCAGGAAGTGTGGCATACATAATACATCGTTAAATGAAGATTCTTTGGTAATCATCATAAGTATTACCTTAGATCAACAACAGAGCAGTTGATTTTTTTTTAAAGACATCCTATGGGCATACCAGATCATTGTTTTATTGGGGAATCACAAATAAGTGTTGTATAGAAACACAAATACAGTATTAAAAGAGAATACCAACTAGTCTATACTTATACACAGGTATATATACATTGTCAAGGTGTATGAGTAGATGAATGCACTGATGAATGGGTTTTTAAGTCCTCATATATCACTGAAATGTTTAATATATTTCTATTTGCATGGCAAGAATTTTTTTTTTTGTTTATTTTTGTCATTTGAATAAACACAAGTAGATTTTTTTAGAATTTTGCTATGGATGTTAACTATATTACTATACAAACAGAAAGTGCCAAGACTAATAGTATTTTATAGGAATGGACAGTTTGTAATTTGAATATTAAGAAGCAAACAAAGCGGAACAGGCAGGTATAATTAACCTCATATATTCATAGGTATGCATTCCAATGACCTTAGGGATTGTTCAGGTAAAGTCTACAATTGTGCAGAAAATACCTGAAGGAAACAGAACTCTTGTCTGAAGGAAAGCCAGATAATGTAATTTCTAGTTCTAGTATTCTTGCTTCCATATCTCCAAGATTGTCATATTATACATAAAGTGCACTGGTCATATTTAATTTTGTTTATGGTAATTTCCTTGTATAGTGTTTGTCATTTAGTCATTTCCTCTTTTGTAAGACATGAAGGTTATGTGACTAAAGCAGATTTTCTTAGTAATGTGGTTCCATACCTTAAATGCAGGATTAAACGAGACAGGGATGAGGGAGCAAATAGCCAAGACAAAAAGGATTGATAAGATTGAGAGATGTGGGGAATATAGAGCAGGATGAAAGAAGTTTAAAAGTAATCAAAAAGTGAAATGCTTGATACCTGTTGGAATCTAAAAGTCAATCCTTTGGAATATAATCTGGTTTGACAGTGTGTTAGATTGCTAGTATCAGTGTTCACATGAAGTTAATATAAAACAAAACATAATATATAATTCATGTAACAATACATGTCTGCATTTGTCACTTTGTCTTAATTAGTAGTCGAATATGTATTTTTATACAAGTGTTCCCTATGTCATAACAATGATTACTCTCAAAAGTTTAATCACTGTATTGGTTCTTGTTACCAAACACTGAATAAAATACTTGGAACATGTCTTAAACTTTACTTAATTCAATGTATATGGTTTGAGTCTTTTCCTTTCCTATATTATGATTATATATACCAAAGACATGCCTGAGCCTGATGATTGCATAATTAAGTAGAAAGCTGAATCTCCGAAGTAAATATAAACCCTAAAACATGTTCCATTCTTGTTTCTGTCAGAAAATGGATCGGCTACTGTAGAGAATTTCAAAGACATTATCATTATAAATTCTCAAGAGGCCATGCACGTGAGACTGAGATGCCCGTGCTACAAAGCTTATAATTGTACCCCAAGCTGTTGTACTTTGAGAAAGGAGACATGTGGGAAGAACAAACACTATATGGTGATGGTGAAACTTTGTCACCATACTCTAAGATTGAAAGATGAAAAGGAGACATTGTTGGCTTATTGTATGTTGACACAAACTATTTTAAATGCAAAAAAGTGTTGCATACTTTTAACTTTATTAATATATATAGAACCTGAAACCACCTGCCTTTATGTGCACACTCATAAACAAGCTAGTATGAATGATTATGACACCAGTGCTTAAATGGTATGACCCATATATAAATGCATAATTTATAAAGTTATAAGATACAGAGATGAAAAAAATATTCTAAATGCAATGCATGGATGACAAACATGCAATCTCTCGATTCATGATTGTTTAATTCTAATGTCTATTCATAATGAGTTAGTCGCCAGCACATCCAACGTCATCAACTGTAGTAAAGCCACAAGTGAATGAATCATGAATTAACTACCATGTAAGATTTGAAACACCTGAAGGCCAGTAAAATCAACCATTGCAGTTAGGTCAGTTGCAAATATCAATAAATTCCAGTGCAAGGGTTCTTAGTCTGGGCCCATGGGTTGCAGGGGGTTCGTGAGGGTCAGATAAAAATCAACATCACTTTTTGCATAGAAAGGAATGCTTTTTAGATTGTTTACATAAAGACTGATAATACCTTGTGTATCTCATATAAGACAATCAATTTTCAGTAAATAAATTATATTATACACACCGCATGCAAGGTTATATTTATGAGTATTTCTAGGGGAGGGGATCTAGACCTTTCATCAGATTCTTAAAGGGGTCTGTAACGCTAACAAGGTTAAGATGCAAGGGAAGGCTATGAACTCTACGGGAAGTTTCGCCAAGTTTCATTAGTCTCTCCGTGAAATATAATCTTTTCTACTCATTTCATGGTAGCGTCGTGGTGCGAAGATCAAGGCAATTGACCAGGAAGAGAATTTTATAACTAAGGAAGTTAATAATTATAATAATAATAATAATGATGAAACATAGGACAAATTATAAAATTGGAACGTGAACAATCTGCTATAAATCTTTCCTGATGCAACTGTATTTCACAGTATCTGTACAATACAATATAGATATATAAAGTTATCTTTTTTTCAAATTCTTTGGCTTATTTCTTAAATCATCATTTTGGCATATATTTTCGAAACGGTTAGGCTTATGTATATGTATGTGTGTGCGTGCGTGCGTATATGTGTGCACGTATACGTGTACGTATACATGCATGTATATGTGCGTGTGAGTGTAACCTCGGGTAACTATCGACGATCTAGTACGGGAGAGTGTGAGAGAGAAGTACTGTGGTACGTGTAAGCATAAAGTGTATATGTGGGCATTTACAGAAATAACTCCGAGCGTTTATTTACTTAGACTTCATCATGAGTTCTCATTTGATTTAATTTTATTTAGAATAAGTACTGAACACGTGGTTTGGACCATTATTGCTGGATCTTGCATTCCTTGTAGTTGTAAATGCTTTCTTTTACGACACTCTAATGTACTGAAATTTAATTAAAGGAAATGGTATTGCGAATTCGGAAAAATAAGTTCTCGTATTTTACTTAGAGAATGGGAGCGTATTTACACAC